ATTGCTATAAAATAAATATTGTTTGACCTCGTTTGTTGTTTTTTTTAAATTGGCTTGAAATAATAAGAAATATCAGATAATTCCATATAAATAAGTTTAGTTGTGTGTATTTATACATAAAAGTTTGACATAGCACTTCGTTTAATAAATTAATTATATAACTATTTAATTTTTTCAGGTTCCTTTGATGATTACCATGGATTCTGGAGACAATTCGGATTTGGAATTGTTAGCATCTACAAAAGTGACTACATTCATCTAGGTGGTTTCGATCTGAAGATTTCTGGTTGGGGAGCAGAAGACGTTAACTTATACGATAACGTCATCAAATCCGACTTAAAAATAGTGAGAAGTGTTGACCCTGGACTAATCCACATCTTTCATTCGGAAAAGTGCGACGACCAGTTAGATACCGAGCAGAAGATTATGTGTTTAGGAACTAAAGCTAATACTCTAGGATCGCTACAAACTTTACAAAAACTATTTTTGAAATATAAAGATTTGTTTAGGTAGCACTTGCTTGTAATGAAACAGAATTTTGCCATACACTTTTGTTATTGATCGCCATAAATAATTTATGTACACGTGTTTTATTCAAACTATTATCAATGAATACCGTAGATATTTTCACAAAATCTAAAAAGCGTTAGAAACTTCGATAGTGTCGTTTTAAAACCGAGGTTAAAGAAGTCTGTGATTGCCATCTTTATTAATTAATAAGAGGCTTATTCATTTGAAGCCCATCTTTGGTCCAGAAAATATTTATTTATATAATTATAAGAATTCTTTTGGCTGTCTCTCAACGAATTCTTTTGCGGCATTTTGTACTTCTTTGTCCGACTGAAAACGATTACTTTTAACGTCTTTTTCAGTGGTCCAAAGATGTGAAAAACGCATGGTGATAAATCAGGACTATAGAGTGGATATACTAATATCCTCCATGTCTTTCGCTGTAGATTTACTTCCTCAACTTTTGTAACACAACGCATGATGTACAGTGTTTGAGGTACATAAAATGAACGAGACTATGTTGCTCAGAATCGGCTTAACCAGAAACATTGAAAAATAAAACAAAGAAAAAAATAATATAAATTGGCCAAATAGGGCGCCATCTTGTCTTTTTTTCGAGAGACAAAAAACTCTTAATTACAAAATTTCCTTTGTGAAATTTGTATGTATGTGTTCTTGTTCTTACGTTGGGCAGTGAATCATTGTTAAGTTGAGAAAGTGGGGTGCAAATTCTTAACTTGCATATCTTTTCACTGACTACCTGGAAGCCTACGATTTTTGACTTAAAATCATTCATTATTATATTAGAAACTTTGAAAGCTTCATTTCCAGGTACAATGTTAAACTTTTCTTGCAAAACTTGCTCAGCAACCATGAGTTATTAGCGGCATTGTAATATGCTTTAAAGGGAGCGAAAATTGAAACATCAAGGGGTTGCAGTTTATTACTACAATGAGGAGGCAGAATCAGTATGATTACACCAGTATCTTTTGCCACATGAACAAAGTGATGTTACGTGACTCTCGTGATTGTCGTAGATCAGTATGTAAGGTTTAATGAGTTGCTAAACTTAATGAAGTGTTTCATAACGTCGACAAACAGCTCGCTATTCTTCCATCCACTTGGATTTGCCAAACCCAGTGTGCCAGGTGGAGGTTGTTGTGCCATATGCTTCTTATGATATTTCCTTGGAAAAACCATGACAAGAGGCAGCAACATACCATTCACACATACGACACATGTAAGTAATAAGAATACCCCTTATACACTGCTAGTACAATTCTTCAGCTGTTTTACACCTTTCTTAAGTTTCTGGACTGATGACTAGTCTCATCAGGTTCTATATCCTGATGTTATTGCCGTTGATCCAATTCGCTAGAACTGGAATATTGTTTTTGATCGCCATAGCATATGCTACCTTTCGTGCTTGAATGGTTGTTAATCCGTAGCTCATTTTGCTACAAGTTTTAATGTGATCACCACAAAAAATTTCCTGTTCCTTTGAAAACGCACGTCGTACAGCATAATTGGATTCCATTCGATCATTATCTGCGTTAGAACGTTTTTTTTTTTCGAAATAACTTTGTAATGTCTGAAATTTTACTCCGTGTTCAACGACATAAATTCTCAATCATTTTCCATCCGAAACATCTTGTACGGCACTTGCCGTATCATCGTAGTTGAATGTCGCTCGATTCCTTGGTTTTTCTTTGCGCACCATAGCTATAACAAACAAACTATATAAAAAGTAATTTTTATCTTAATTAAACAGTTTATCACTGTAACTTTCACGAGATCACGAATGAAATGATGGTATTTTGACATGATACTATGACTTCCAAGATAAAACCACTTCGCAATCGAATTTTGTACGTCGATGCGCATGACGTCACTTGGCGATAAAAGTTTATCTTTAATTTAATATTCTGAAATATATTTTATATAAAGTGCACACATTTATTTGTCAACGTACTAGATAAACGATAAAACAATACTAAATCTGACAAAACTCCATGCAAAACAGAACATTTCTGGTGATATTTGTCGCCTAGTGACGTCACACGTGCATAAGAGATAGACTGATCGCGTGCGATCACATCACATTTCTGTGATAATGTTGATTGCAGAATTGAACCTTGGCGGTAAATTTGAAAAATTATTAGATTGTTTTATTGTGTACCATGTCCCATTGTGTACTACTCTCCTCTACCTAACTTTTTTATGCTTACATAGCCAAAGCAAACAATCGTTTTTGGTCCATACTTTCTCGTGAAAATTGTTTCTATTATACAGAACTTCGAATTAAGTTTAATATTTATAACTGAATATTCCGTCTTCAATAAAGTTGAACTATTTCTAAAGAAATCTTTCATATAATATATCAATGATGTAGTTGAATGTTTATTACAATCTGTTTATGAGAAGTTACTGTTCTATTGGCCCAATTTTATAGTCAATCAAAAGACTGATATTTTTTGTACACACTTATGACAAGTTGAAAGAAAATGCAAAAAAGTATTTTTGAAGTGTGTATATTTTAGGCAATTCCTAGCTGAGCGCTTTCGGCTTTACAAAGCCATCATCAGAGCTATGGTCAATTTTTTAAAATACCACTACAAAGGAGAGATCTCATTTCCTTAAGTTTCACAATTATGAATTTTGTAGGAGTTGGAATTTTTAAACATATAAAAAACATATAAAAGGTCGACACTGGACGTCACAAACACGTTAAAAATTGAAAAATTTTTTGTCATGGTACGGGTTTAAGACCCGACCATCTATTGATGTGAGGACGTAGACTGAATAGTTCTATTCAGTCTACGTCCTCAATCAATAGATGGTCGGGTCTTAAACCCGTACCATGACAAAAAATTTTTCAATTTTTTAACGTGTTTGTGACGTCCAGTGTCGACCTTTTATATGTTTTTTATATGTTTAAAAATTCCAACTCCTACAAAAATTCATAATTGTGAAACTTAAGGAAATGAGATCTCTCCTTTGTAGTGGTATTTTAAAAAATTGACCATAGCTCTGATGATGGCTTTGTAAAGCCGAACAGCGCTCAGCTAGGAATTGCCTAAAATTACACACTTCAAAAATACTTTTTTTGCATTTTCTTTCAAATTTTATAGTCGCCCTCAATAAAACACTGGAATTACTTAGAATAATCGATTGACATCAAAACTTTTTTAACTTTCTAGAATATGTATATTCGTGTTCGATGTTTTGTCTATGAAATAAATATCTATAGGTTTTGTTGTACACTCAACTTTAACTGAAATTGTAATTGAAGATATTAAAAACTATTTCTGAAATATTAGATATTTAAGTTTCCAAAAATGAGCCTTTAGTGCCATGAGTATATCAACAAGTGCGTTTAACTAAATAAAATATTACTTTAATGTGGTTTTTCTAGTTTGAAGACAATTTTCAATTGATAACTCTGTAAAGGAAGTAGTAAGAGTGATCCACATGTCTATAATGGTCAAGGAGTTTTACAATTCATATATTGCAATACTACCTGCTTCTTTTTTTGCTGAATTATTACTTCTTATAATACACAATGGGGAAATGATAGTAAGTGTCTTCAGTCGAGGAATCCAGACTATGATCTACAAAACATGAAAAACAATGTATAATTACAAACACTTATTGTGTTTGTATTATATTTTACTCGGCTACAAAGTGAATATAAAAACTAGATACATATTTAAATAATATATAAAATTGCTAACCATTGTGGATTATCACAAAACTTAAGTATATTTTAACAGATTGTTCAGGTGTTTTTATTTGATTAAACGCACTAGTATAAATGATTGGTATAATTGTTCCTACAGCAATGGAGATTGTAAACTATTATAAAATAATAAATTCGTAGATACTTTTAAAGTCTTTCTTATTAAAAACCAAATCTAATATCTGTACTTTAATTTAAGTCAAAAATGGCTGGATTGACAGCGGACTGAGCCTCAGCCCGAGGGACATAAAAACCAGTTTCCCCATTACCCACAAAAACTCTCAGATCATAAGCCTCCTTACAAAAACAGATGCTGAGGAGAGGAAAAGCCTGGGGGTCAGATAAGTATAACTTGATTAGCAAAGTAAGACTGGTTTGAACTCAATATAATGGTATTACACATACACATGTTCCTCAGGGGCAGGGTTAATCACTGTATGTGTGTGATGATTGTAGAGTTTTGAAGTCATTACTAGTTTTGTAAAAGTTATGTATTTTTACACTTATGACAAATGAATGAATGGAAAAGAATTTTTGAAGTCTGTAGCCATACTGAGTTATCATCAAATATTTACAATGTACCACACTGAAGAGGGATCCCATTAGAGGCATCAAAGACAGTACATACATTAGACTCTGCGAAAAACATGTTTATGGTATGAGTGTAAATACCTGACCATCTGGATGTAGTTGAAGTGGCATACCCAAAGGCTAAACTGTAAAGGGATAAACATTCTCAATAAAACACAATAAACTTAATAAATTTATTTATTACAAAGTCCTGTTATTAAAACAAGAAAATCTTCCTCTCTTAACCTTGTTTCTGTGCCAATTCTTTAGCTTTGGCTCTCTCTAACTTAGCAATACGAGCAGCAGATTTGGATCCAAGCAAACCACCACCCCAGTGCCTCCTGATTTCATCAACACGGTCGTTGAAGTTAGTTTTAATTACTTCCAAAAGTTTGTTGAAGTTGGACCTAAAAACAAAACAAATATAATTTTGGTAACAGTATTTAATACTTTTTAGAATGATAGATTTTAAAACTCAGTATTTCAACCTAAATCTCCTCACAAACATAGTGAGCTTAACAGTCATGATTTCATTTTAAGAAACTTATTTATATATATATATATATAATATATATATATATATATATAAAAAAATACACAAGTATATGTTTTTTAAGTTTAGCTCAGAGTCAAGGTTCTTCATTTTAAAATGTCTCATTTGAGAGCTCAGGTGAAGAAATTCAAAGCATCATAGCTAATTGTTAACTCAAAATCCCATTTTGAAGAAGTTATTCACAATTTAACAAGTTATAATCCTACATTTTAAAACTAATGTCTGCAAAAGCAAAAACCGAACATTATAGAGAGATGAAATCTGATTTATCCTGTTTAAGACACTGTTTAAGTGAAATATATGATAATTGTTGTGATTAAACAATTTGATTTTATTTACCACAATTTTTGTTGGTAAACCTACCTGTCTCCAGAGTCAACTTGTGTAAGTGCTACAGCTGAACAAGTCTTGCGCCTCACAAGAAGTCCAAGTCTTGCTTTACCTTTAACTATGCAGTATGGGACACCCATTTTCCTGCAGAGGGCTGGTAGGAACAGAACCAACTGAAACATAAAATGCAATTCAAATAACCGATTTAAGTATGTAATACAAACATTTATAATGTTTTAGATCAGTATCTTTTGTCTTCATTTTAACAATATTTCTTTTTGAAGAAATAGGTCAGGTGAAGAAATTCAAGAGCATCATGAATATGTAATTGAAAATTCACACCTCAACTTTGCATCAAATCAGGTGTTAATATCTATTGGGTGTTTTAATATACAACATTCTATTTATATCCTCTGCTTTACATTATTTATGAGGATATAGAAGCGATTATAAACATCAATTTGATCCATCCACATTCTAATTGACAGAACTTGTTTCTCTTAGTTATTTTTAGAGATTCACAAGATTTATTATTTTAAGATTTGCATCAACTATTTTTTAATGTATTAATAAAATATATTTGAAACTGATCTATCACTAGTGAGATTTTTAAAAACACAAAATTTATGATAAAAACAAATCAAACATCTTTTCTGGACAAAATAATAAATTTGAATGTTCTTACCTCAATTGGGTCAACATCATGTGCAATAACAACCAATTGGGCTTTTTTCTGTTCAATTAACTTAGTCACTGTATTGGCACCAGCCTTCAATGTGTTTGGTTTCTTAGCAGGTGCCTCTTCTTTCTTGGCAACCTTAGCTTCAGCCTTAGCCTTTAACCTATTTTTCTTTTGAAGGGCTGTCTCAGGCCTGTACTTTTCCAAGACTTTAAATAATTGGGTGGCTGTAAAAAAGTAGAAAAATAAATAAATATCGAAAAAACAAAATTAAAAACGACCAAAATTTAATGAAAAGTTATGGTATACAGTACCTGTTTGTTTGTCAATAGTTTGAGAAAATTGGTTAATTGGTGGTGGAACCTTCAATCTCTTTTGTAGTACAGCCTTTTGTCTTTGAATACGAATGTATTTTGGCCATTTTACAAATCGAGATAAATCACGGGGAGGCTGAATATCCTGACCTAAAAAATAATAGTACAGGAGTTACAAAATATAATGTTTACAAATAAAACTACATACCAATTCCAAAATTTCTAGGCCTCTTTTCAAAAAGTGGGTTAACTTCTTTCTTTTGTTCAACTTTTTTGACTGCAAGAGGAGCTGCAGCTACTTTCTTTCCTACCTTCTTCTTAGGCTAAAACAAACAGCTCGTAAATATATAGATAATATTTGTGTACAACAATAAATATAAAAAATATACTTCAGGCAATCTATGGTGGTAGAAAAGTTATCTTCAAGAAACTTCTGATAGCAAATACTGGTATCATCATGGTATTAAAACATAACCTCAAATCAATATTCTGAAGAATTACCAAATACACAAAAACACTAATTATTAAAAAATAAGTAGATTTTAATAAAGCTGTTTCAAATGCAGATACTGAATGCACTCAAATATTTGTTGAAAACAGCACTTAGTCCAAAAACTAATCAAAACATTTGGTAACCTGTCATCTTAAGTATGTATTTAACAAGTATATCTAAATTTATAAGAATAAATATAAAATAACCAATAATGTGGCAAATACGTACTTTCTTTTGGACCATTTTGGAAGTTAAATCCTCAAAGGATGTTTAGAATATTAAAAAAATTAAATCTACACACAGACAACCTCACTTCGGAGAAGCTGTCAGTGGAAAAAGAGCGCAAGCGTAGAGAAGCAATCTGACCAACAGTTTAATCAGTCACTGATTGGATTTTGAATTGTAAAACATAGTATTCAATAAAAATTCAAAGAAATTAAGGCAAATGTTCCGTACAATTTAAATATAATTTATTGTAGACATCTGTATAAATAATTGATATCATTAATAAAATAATTTGGATAGATTGATATAAAGGAATGTTAGAAAGATGAATAAAAAATATATTAAAAATATATGTAAAACTACAGAAAGTTTTTAGATAATTCCATATATTGTTTTAAATGTAAATGACTTGAATTTTTTTTAGTTTCTATAAGGTCTGCTTTATAGTGATTTTAGTGTTTTTATATTGGTACTTTTCCGCCAACAAATATTCCAAAATAAAAAAGAAGAATTTTATAACCTTTTCTTATTTTCCCACGTCTAAAATCCGTTGAAATTTTGTTCATAGTTCAAAATTTGCTAGGGGGAATAGATCGTGACTACTTTAATAAACCAAATATTACTTTTTATTTCATTAAACTTTATAATAAAATATCAAAATGTTTTGGGGTAAGTAGATCTAATTCGATTTGTTCTATATTTCCAAAATACCACGTGTTGAATTATTCATTGTTTCTAAAACACTAAGCTTTATTTCTCTCATCAATTGTAATATATTTCACGAGTTAAGAATAGTTTTAATTTCTTTAGTATTTATAAAAAAATCTAAAATCGTTTTATTTGTGTTTAACTAAACTAATATTTGTTTTCTAATCTGTTTAGTACTTGTTTTCACTTTAGAACCATATTTTTTATATGTATTTCCTTATTAATGTTGTTTTAAGCAAATGCAGCTTTGTTAAACAAGTTAAATACATATCGTGCCGCTTCAAGAAGAATGATCCGGTATATACTTAACAAGTAGATTCCAATCAGATCCATGTTTGTAAAATGTTGGCCTGAACACATTAGGTGTATCAGAAAAAAACTACCCACACAGCAAAAGAGACTAATCAGAACAGAACTTGCAAAGTATACAGTGGATGCATATATAAATAAAATCATGTAGTGCCTGCTAAATCAACATAACAATCAAGGAATTGATTTTTCTAAAATGGATATTTTGGCTATTTTACAAATTGGATAAATCACAGGAAGGCTTGAATAGTAGGTATAGGGTTACAAAATATCTTCTGAAGGTGCCTGTTGTTCGGAATCGTTGGCGATCACTCTGACTATGATGATTTTGTTGGTTGCTATATGGAATAGCTGTGTTGAGGTCATTCTATACCCATGCTCTGAAGTTACCAAGTCAGGATAATCTTCTTTGTCCTAGGGCCCTTTTTCCTTCAATTTTACCTTGCAAATTGCATTGGAGTAGTACAAATGTTCAGTCAAATGTCCATTTAAGTACATTTTAAACTTTATTATAATTAATTAACATTACTTACATTTAAATTTAATTTGCTTTTTTCTTTATTAGAATGGTACTACAGAATAATTGTCCAAAAGATATAACTAAGCATTGGAAACTTGATATAACTAAAAAAGTGATAAAAATCATATTCATTTTTACCATAAATTAGAAACGGGTATTTATTTAAACAGCAAGCAGCTAAAAAAACAGAAACTTAAGCCAGAAAACCAAACTAATAATATATCGAACATCATCCTACCAGTGCTGACATATGGGTCAGAAACATGGACCATCTCCAAAACAGACGCAAATCTTCTGCTCGTCTTCGAAAGAAAGATACTAAGAAGAATAATGGGCGCATTCTGTGAGAATGGTATTTGGAGAAGGCGATATAATTTCGAATTGTACGAGAAATATAAAAAAATAGTAAATGGTAGAGATGTATATCTTCATAAAAATAGGCAGGCTTAGATGGGCTGGACATGTGTCAAGAGCAAATGAGAATTACCACCCAGACGAATCTATTATCGGGTCCCAGTGGGAAATAGGAGTAGAGGCAGACCACGACTGAGATGGAGGGACGGTGTGGACGAGGACACAAGGAAAATCAGCGCGGCTAATTGGCAAAGGTTGGCGGATGAACAGAAATGACTGGCGAAATAGACTGGGGAAGGTCAAGGCTCAACTAGAGCTGTAGCACCACTGATGATGATGATGATTTATTTAAACAGGATAATATATTATTAACGGGATAAATCCAGAATGCAATGAAATATTCACAAATACACCACACTCATATTCCTTTTCATAGGACTGATTATGCTCGTCATTTTCCCTTGTCGAGAATGCTCAGCTCTTGCAATGACCTGCTATTGGATTCTTTCTGCCCAAACATTAATGCTTTCAAAAGGCAAATTAAGAATCTGACTATTAATCTAGATATATGTGATACTATGTGATACGGATACTTTTTTTTTTTTAATTTTTGTGATTTGATGTACAAATTTTAACTGTTTACTTGTTTCTTTGTTATTGTTATGATCTTTACTTTTTACTACTTGTTGTATTTTATTGGAAATGGTTCTACTGTTAAAATAAATAAATATATAGCTTTATCCATTCTGCTTGGATAATTCTAACTCCATCCAGGAAATTCTAATATCTGATATTTGTGTTTTAACCTTAACATATACACAGTTCATTGAGTGCTGGTCCTTTTTACTTATTTTTGTGAAGTTGTAACATCTACTGTTTGTGTATTGAAATAGCTGCAATTATAACACTGCATTGGTTGTGTCAGTCTGTTTAGATATTCAATTATCACTTGTGGGTGCATTAATGTTCATGGTGCTCATGGCCCTATTTTTTATCTCACGATACCTATATGGCACAGTACTTGTGGGGAGATGACTTTTGTGAAATCCTGATTTCATATTTTTGATGCTTGATTGAACTTATACTTGGTCTGGGTTACTCTGCATGTGGTATTCTCAGTTAATTGGTCATTCTCTACTGATAACATGTTGTAATCATTGATATGTTTTGAGGTATTGAGGTAATTCCCTCAATATTTTGTTTGCAGAGAGTTTATTTGGTCATTCTTTTTGTTGATGTTAGAGCTGAGAGTCTTATTCTCTTCACATAGTATGTTAAGTTCAATTCACATGTAGTGTATTTATATTTTTGTTCGAGCTGTTCTGTTCCTCATCTCTTTTTATGTGTTTCATGAGTTGTCTTCATCAATCTTGGTGCTACAGCCCTTAGAGGGCCTCAACCTTCTAAGATTTCTATGCCATTCTTGCTTGCATTTTTCAGTTGCTGACTCTGATCTTGTGTTACCCCGTCCATCCACCTTAGCTTTGGTCTACTCTGTCTTCCCATTCCCACAGGTTGCTCTATTAGAATATTTTTTATCATGTTCAATTCAGGGGCCCAGACTACATGTCCTGCCCATGCAGGCAGTTTCACTTAATTATAGTGGTAATATCTTTACCACCAAACATATGCTTGTCGATATTCTGCAGTTCAAGTTTTATTCAATGAGTTATCTTCATTGTATTAATTATTTTTGTATGCTTCTATTCCATATTTTGTGTTTTTAGTTGGTATTTTTTTTTTGGCTGGAGTTCCATTAGATTTTTCGCTAAATCTTCTTTTTTCTACTATCTTCCATTGTTTAGGTCCCTGCACTCACACTCTTTGAGTATTCTTACATTTCATAGGTTTTTAAGTGCTGCCCTTAGACACTGAGCCTTCTTTTGGTTTTACTTAACCTGGAAATGGGTTAGGCTGTATTTATTATTATCTGCTATTTGTGTGGCACATGCTACCCATGCATTATATTATGCATGTATTCTATTATAATACTAGTATCCAACCAGAGTCCAAACCTAGTAGTTTATTTTATAGTATATAATCTTATACTTAACAATACAAAAACTTTAATAATTACATTAATTTTTTAATATTTTAGGTCTTATTATGGAGCCGCAAAGGCGGTACTTACATGTTGTCAAGAAAGCATTCCACATTTCAATGGCAGCACTAGACGTAGGTACATCATCGGATGAACCAGCCCAAGTTATGTGCAGTTTTGAAGGAAGAAACTATCTTTTATGTACCCTTAGTAAAACTGCTTTACAATGCCCTTTGGATTTAAATTTTGAGGTAAAGAGTTACATTCAAATCGAAACTCCATAATAGAACTAATTTATTACTTTATTTGGGGATAATTTTTAAAAATGTTCATCCAAAGAGTGTATTCTGGGATATTTGGAGCTTTGTGAACCAAATGAGACATAATTTTAAAATTCAGGTATAATTAAACTAACTAGATAAACATAAAACAAAACAAAAGTTTATTTAAAAAATATATTATTTTTATATGATATAGATTCAAACCATGGGCGCTATATTTTTATTATCAAATTCTGCCCTTATTTCCTTTCCTGCTGCCCACTCCCTGAGTCATGACTTGCATTTCTATGGTACTTGTATATTTCTCTAATATGATTGTTATTTGAAAAAAAATTACATTGTTTTTATTATCTTCTAGGTCGGAGATGAAATAGCATTAACCACAAATGGAAAGTGTCACATACATCTAACAGGTTATTTCATTGAAGAGTCAAATGATATCTTAGGAGAAGAGGAAGAAGAGGAGGAGGTTGAAGAAGAAATTGTGGAGAAAGAAGTCAAGAAGAAGAATAAAAAACGGAATAAACAAGAGATAAATGGGCGTAAGTCTCATACATACAAAACATACATTTTAAATTGAAAATATCTTAGATAGTTGTTGGTCAATTTGAGTAAAATGGAAACTATAAAAAAAGTTGGTTAAAATTATGCACCTACTTTGTATGTGGAATATTATATAATCTAAAAAAATAATATATACTATAACAATTTGTAATTGAAGGTGATTCATGGGCAATATCACATTTAAAGTGACCCACTGATAATCCCATTGTCATTTGTAGAGGTGTACCAACATATTTTAATTATTTATTTAAACACATAAGTAATTAAGTAAAAATTAAATCTAAGATCTCTTCTAATGACATAACTTCTGCTTTCTTTGTACATTACTTGGACCCGCTACGGCATCCATCTTAATGCTATTAAAGGAATAAACATCAATCATATTATTCTGCTATTTGTCTGTTGTTTACTTACCTCAAAAACTATTTTAAAGTTAATAAATATAATACAGTCTATTTAATAAATATAAAACAAAGTCACATCTACAAGAAACAGATATGGACACTTGATGATGAGGAAACAAATAAACTATTTTCCCATTCCCACTCTTTTGAAGACCTTAAATATATAGATCAGTGAAGTGTTTGATAAGTTTACCAATGTGTCACAGTATTCAACGAACTTGTTTAACTATTCACAGCTGTGAATCACACCAGTATGCCGAAGGTATATTGTTACAGGCGCAAAAATTTATGGAATCTTCTTACTTTTCACTCTCCACATTTGCGAAGCATACCCAATAAATATGACCCCGGTATGTGCCGGTAAGAATGTACTTCTGATATATAACACTGTTGCCCTTAACTCTCAGTTCAATTTGTAGATAAGTCACCTTTAATTGAAAATTGTTATAGTATAGTGGTTATTGTGAGTAAAAAATACATTTTTCCTTAATATATTAGCATATTAGTAGACCTGGTCTGAGATTTAATGTCAGGTTGGGGGGACAAATATGCAACACAAATAACTTGATGTGTTCGTTTTTGAATGCTAAATAGTATTAATTTGGCAGAGAACACATCACATACAAATGACTATTTATAATTCAGTTGCTGTCTAAAGTTAATAATAAAAGTTACATTCAGTTTGTGGAATAGTCAACATTTCTACAATATAATGTCTCGTTTTGATCATTTCCATTGTCTGCATTTAGGTTTTCCTCAAAGTATTCTTTTTATCTCATTATAATTTTTTGTTTCTCTGTTGGTAGTTCACAGTCCTGGTCTTTGCATATTGTCAATTTTGGTCTAAATGACTGTGTGCTTTCTTTTATTCTTTTATAGAATTTTCTGCTCTCATGTCTGTTGTTATGTTCTAGGCTTTCTTGTACTTGTTTTTTTCAAAGCCTCTCTTTTTTTCTTCTACATACATACATTCAGCTTGTATTCTCTTTTCTTCGTTTTAAATTTCTCTGCTATTTCTTGTGTTTCCTTGAAGTTGGTTAAGCCTATCTTGCCTATTTCCTCTACTGCAGTTCTGCATTCATTTCTTTGCCTTTTGGCTTTTCCGACAGTTTCCTCTGCAGATTCCGTTATTATTGTTTTTACTTATCTCCACTCTTCCTCTTGATTCGTAGTATCTTCCTCTCTGATTCCGTTAAGTTTTATTTGGAGAGTATTTTGATACTTTGTGTCTTTGTTGGACTTTTGAATCCTTCAACATTCCATTTTTTAATTTGGCTATTTTTTCCTTTTGCCACTGTCGCGATTTTCTGCCGCAATTTTGCCCCCACAAGATAGTGATCTGAGTCATAGTTCGCCCCGCGATATGTTCTACCATTAGTTATGCCTGTTGCCCATCTTTTTGAGATGATGATGTGGTCAATTTGATTGGCTTCATTGGTTCCTGCTATTTTCCATGCACCTTTATGGATATCTTTTCTCTGGAAGTTAGTGCTGACAACTACATAATTATTTGCTGTTGCAAATTGTGCAACCCAAGTCCATTTTGACTGGTTTCATTATGCAAACTATGTTTCCCAAATATGTTTACGAAAGTTTCTTCTTTCCCCAGCTTAGCATTAAAGTCGCCTATTGTTATAACAGCATCGTGTCTTTGGATTTTATCACATACTTCCTGAAGTTCTTCGTAGAATCTTTCAACCTCGTCTTCATCAACCAGATAGGCACATCAAGAAGAAGATATTTTTGTAATTGATATATATGAATTTTTACAGCTTCTCCGAAGAAACAAAAAAAGGAACAGAAACAAGAGGAATCAGATGAGGATGATGATAGCGACATGGATGTTAATGATCTCCTAGAAAATACCTTGGATAGTGACGATGATGATGAATCCTTCAATGGAGAAGAAAATGAGGAGGAGGAAGAAAGTGGCGATGGCGATGGAGGTGAAGAAGAAGAGGAGGTAATCTTTAATTTTAGTACAATTCATTGAAATTACACAATCTGAACGGGGTTATGGGGTCTTAAAATCTTCATAAGTGGATAGAACAAAGTGTATATTTACATTTTAATTAAAGAACTTCAAATCAGAGAATATATTATTAGAGATAATTAAACACATTATTAAAATAAACATATTTAAAAATTTTTAAATGAATTTTGCCCTATATATTAGCATATTAGTAGACCTGGTCTGAGATTTAATGTCAGGTTGGGGGGACAAATATGCAACACAAATAACTTGATTTGTTCATTTTTGAATGCTAAATAGTATTAATTTGGCAGAAAACACATCACATACAAATAATTTATTCAATTTAGTGTGTTGAGCTTCGTCTAAATGTTATATTACTCAACAATTACATTCACTTTAAAGTTTTATTGTATTAATGCCACTGGCAAGGAATAGTTAAAATTTTCAATTCATCATCATCATTCTGGCTTTACAACTCTGTGTGGGCCGTCATCAAGCATGTAGTCCCATATTTCTCATGACTTAATTGATGTTAACAAGGAATCTTGCACTTGATCTTTCTCTTCTCTGACTATGGGTATACCAAGGAGTGTTTTTTCAATTATAGGTGGTAATTTACACAGATTTTTGAGTTTTTTGTAAGTGTTGCTTTAATTATATTCACTTTTTTTAATTGTCTAGTAATTAATTATAATAATTCATTGTGTGCATGTGTGTCCTGTCAACAGTCATAATAATGTGAACGTTATTCACACCTGCCTTATTGTTCTACATATCAATAGGACATTCCCTATTATTCATTAGTACCCATGTCAGAAATGGGAACTTCCATGTGCGGAGTACTGGAGATTTGACTCAAACACACAATCTTTGAAGACCAGGAATTTATTTCAGAGCGTTTCCCTCATAGGTAGACTGATTTCTCTACATCTAAATAACCCCACCTGTCCCGCATGTGGATCTGCTTTTATATTATGCCTAAAAGCCAAGCTACCACTTTCAATTTCTCTGTTTCAAAAGTTTTTCTCATCTGCCTTAATCACTGTTGTGGTCTTTCTCGGCACAAATAGCAGATTATATGAAAAGATCCTTAAAAATCAGGTTGAAGGGAAGTATAAAGATATAGGAGCCGAAGAACAGGTCTGTTTTAGAGCAAGAAAGATCCACGTAAGACCACTTTTTCTGTGTAACCTAAGTGGTTGAGAAGAAGACAGCGTTTGATCAAGAAGTTCATTTGCTCTATGTGGACTTAAAAAAGGCAGTTGTCCGCACTGAAACATATTCAAGATGATTTTCATCTTGGGTTATATTGGGCACAACCTGATTGATCTGCTAATTAAAGTATATACATATGAAGTGATTACTTTCATGTTCTGCTTTACGAAGATTCAGACAAATCTCGTTATATATAGGTCTTGAATTGTCTTGATAAAGATCTTGATAAGGATCAGCAAAGCAAAGGATGGTTAGTCAGCCACTATAAGAGCAGCAAAGATTGTCTTCAAGGCTGAATCTTATTACCTCTAATGTGGTTGACGATTTTTTAACAAAGCTCAAATGAGGAGGATTTCTTGCTCTAGGTTATGCAGACGATCTATTTACAGTGGAAGGATTTTTAATAAATCCTAATAAAACTTTTTAAAACATCTCAATTGATCCAAAATAGTTATTGCCTGCCATTAAAATTAGTAATAGCTTGGAACTGCAGTCTCTTAGCAACTGGCAGGGTATAACAATGTAACTTTGTGGGTGTCAGACTTAGGCAATTATTGTTAATGAGATTGCTGATAGTCTTGTTAAGGGAGCTACCACTCTTTTATCTGCTAATGCATTCTGCACTGACAAAAACCCTTAGAGTGAAGAATATCCGAAAATTTCAATAGGATCTTATGTAGAATATTAAGTAAACATTCCATATCGAAGGTAATCTAAAAAGGTTATTATAACCTTTTATTTGCTACATAAAAATACTTGTTAAAGTGTCAGAAGACTGAACTAAGAGTAATCACAGTTGTTGTGGTGACTATGGTACTGGCTTACTTAATACGCTAGATACTAGACTAATAAGCTTTCTTAGAAGCCTAAAATAGGGCTAAAAATAGATGTAGGGTACATACAAAAGAACTGAAAGGTAACAGTGTGGGAAGTTCTGAGGTCAATCGTCCCCTTTGAAATTTACAATCTAGTTAAATAATTCCCAAAATGATATAACCCAAAAATAATAACGACAATTTTATACTTAAAGATTTATTTAACTTTTTTGTTTTGTTTTTTTTTTTCAGGATGACTCTGGCGATGATGAGGATCAAGAACAATGGGAAACTGATGATAGTGAAGAAGAAGTAGAAGACACAAAAAAACCAAAACTCAATGGTCACGTTAAAAAACAAGAACAACCAGCACCAAAACAGAAAGATAAGAAAAACAAAAAACAGCAAAATAAAGAAGAAAAAAGTTCACCGACTAAAGAAAGTCAGTCACCCAAAAAAGAGTCACCAAAGAAGGTTGTTCAAGGTGGAATGATCATAGAAGATTTAAAGGAAGGACAAGGTCCACCAGCTAAAAGTGGCAGATTTATTACTGTAAGTCACTTATTTGTAGTTTAAGGTACATTATAATATGGTATGTAGTGTTAACCATTATAAAAAATCCTATATTTATAACCATTCTCACAAATAGAGCAGGAGACAAAAGGCTAAAATGTTCTTCTATTTTACATGTATATGTTCCAAGACTAATATTACTTGAAACATTAATATCAAACTTACCTAGATTCCAGGTTGAACCACGTCTGATTTGAGTACACCCAGCTTTCAGCTTCCGCTTTGAAGTCTTTATCACAGCTTCCAGAGTCTCAACCTCCTGAGTATCACTTCATTGGTACAAAGTTCACTGCACTACTTTGGCGTTTGACGTGATTCACTGACACGCATAACAAAGTATTTCGATTTCTTTGTTTTTCAATCTGTATCCTGTTCCTTTGTTAACACTTTTGATGACTTCGTCCATGATTAAATTAAAGAGCATAGGGCTCAATGAGTCCCCTTGTCTTATTCCACTGTCTATTTCTATAGGTTCTGTAAGTTGTTCATCTATTCTGACTTCCATTTTGTTGTTTTGGTAGATGTTTTCGATAGTTTTTTATAATAATTAGAGGTTTAGACTGGAATCCACAAAGTTTTCAACAATTTTTGTAGTATTATTTTTGTAGTTTTGGTTGAATGCAAATTTTGTTGTTTTTTCTAGTTAATCTCAGACCATGCATCACATCTCACATAGACTTTATCTCACTTATGATTAATAAGACTATTGTTAGTTATAATAGATTTTTTTTTGCTTTTAGGTATACTATGAAGGAAGACTGAAGAGCAACAACAAGGTTTTTGATTCACATAAGCAAGGTCAAGGCTTTGGTTTTAAGTTAGGTTCTGGAGAAGTCATAAAAGGATGGGATGTGGGTCTAGTAGGAATGAAACTTGGAGGAAAGAGGCGAATTACTTGTCCACCCCACATGGCGTAAGTTTATATTTGTTATTAAAATCAAATCGATATTAGTTTGGCACTTCAGATATGGTTGATATGAACAAATATTTACATCTTCAAATTTCGTTTCTGCATGCAATGGAAAATGCGCTATCCTGTCAAACTTTACATCATCAATAGGCTGGTTTTCCCAATTCTTTTTATTGTTCAATGGGTCTGATTTAGTTCCATTTGACGGGGTGCTCTATTTTTCTAGCTCCTATGCGGACATGAAATTAAAGCCTCTGCAATATAGGCCCTAAAATGAACTAAATCTAGTTTCTTCAGATGGCCGGAAAGAGGCCTAAATCTCTTTATTTGACTTATTTTTAGATTTAATAATAACCGTGAAAATGTTTATTACTCACGTCTTTGAGTCACGATGTCGTCAAATGACGAAATATAATTTCAAAAAAATAATTTGACATATTATGGAAATTTTGAAGTGTACTTACTATCTAATTTTATTATTTGCACCTAGAAGCTTCCAATATTTGAAAAGAAAAGAATTTATCTCAGTTTTAGTAGGGTAAAAAATATAATAATGTTAGTAGCATCGATAGCTTTCATAAACTGTTGTGAATGTAAACAGAGAAACTGCTTTAGTTCAACTGGAATGTAACAGATTGTATTACGGATCGTAAATCTAATTAATATTGGATGTTGCTATACCATAACATCCTGTAAAGGCAGGTTTATAAACGGACATAGTACATAATCATAAGTCATAAACATAACTTCAACCACAATCATAATTCATAAGATTTAAGATTGGTTTATAACTAGACATAATACATAACCATAATATTTAAGAACTACTTCAGAAAATACAAACCTAACCAAATTTTTATAGAGCATGAAGAATTTTTTTCTGGTCTTTAGATTCATAGAAAAGTGAAATAAATAAATATGTGGTTGAATTCGCTCCAAAAACATTAAATTAAAATAGTAGGGTTTGTTATGTATAGGAGGAAACTGCAGATGATTCTACCAACGCATGCGCATATTCCAACAATTCCATAATGTTTAATACTTAATTCATAAATGTTGAAAGTTACCAACTTTCAAGGTCACGTTTTAAGGACTAAATTTATGTCTTATGTATTATGGATGCTTTTAAATGGGTACATTTATTTATTAACTTTTAACATTATGCTTATATAATAAGATTATGGTTAAAGACTAAAATTATGTTTATGTCCGTTTATAAATCCGGCTTAATATTTACTTGAACAAAGTTAAAAGTTTTGTGTCGTCAATTGACGACACTGACTGAAAAGGTTAATATTATTAATTGCACAGCGTTTGTGATTAAATTTGCATTGGGTTTGTTAGAAGATGTGAGGGAAACTCTTTATTTCGAACAGCTGTGTCAAATGAGCAACACAATCCACTTCTATTGTATAACATGCTGCATTAAATTGTTTTTTCGGCTATTTGCTCTCTTTAGACTCTGATTATTGCTTTATCTACACTGCATTTTGCATAAGATATGGTGTTACACCTCAGGTTTGGTGAATAAAATAGTCTCAGCATAATGCCTACCATCTAATGAGTCAATTGTGTATTTTGTGTAAGTTATGTTTTAGTGCAAACACTCCTGACCACGGCGCAGTAGACGAAATTTGGTTTACAAGAGAACCTTTCTGCCTTCTGTAGGAGTCTTTGCACTATCTCTACATTCAAGAAAAATCGTCATGACTGGAAAATACACATGTATTTTGGTTAAAGAAAATTAACATCTTAGACATAATATTGTTCTGAAGCTATTTTCTTGTGGCATTTTAAAGTAATTACTATTTTAATGGGAATAAGCCACAATTGAGTGTTGTCTCTACCTCTTTATAAAAATTTGATTGAATTTTGACAATGTGCCAGTTTTTGGTAAAGAATTTTCAATTTCCGAAAATTTTGAATAACGCTGGGCCCATAACGGTTTCTTAATATTGTTCTGAGCTATTTTCTTGTGGCATTTTAAAGTAATTAATATTTTAATGGTAATAAACCACAATTGTGGCTGATTCACATTAAAATAGTAATTTCTTAGACATAACAATAAAAAAGAAAAATATTAAACACATTTTCTTTATCGAATTTTCCCTTTATTATATTAGCATATTAGTAGACCTGATCTGAGATTTAATGTCAGGTTGGGGGGACAAATATGCGACACAAATAACTTGATGTGTTCGTTTTTGAATGCTGAATAGTCTTAATTTGGCACAAGACACATCACATACAAATAACTAACTGTATATGTAGCTATGTTGAGCTATGTCTGTTGTCTATGTCTGGCTTTTGTATAGTACCTCAGGTACGACTTGCTTCCTATACCTTTTTCTTTAATTTTTAACACTAAAGAAATAAACTCTTCCAAATGCCACCCATCCTCTTTGTTTATTTATTTCTCTGGTTTCGTTACTTTTATCTGCATTTACCAGAGCTTCTGGAACAACTCGTAGATGTATTCTATTGAAGGCCTTTTTGTAGTCAGTGAATGTGCCAGATGGCGTTCCAGAGGCTTTTAAACGATTTCCTCAAATTTCTTTGCCACACACTTTCGTTTCTTACTCGTTTGCTACCTCTCTTCTCTGTTCGCTTTTTTTTGTTTTAATTTTCCTTCTATTCGATGTATGACTAGTACTAGATTGATCCAAATCACTCGGAGCATATTCACTACCCGAATCTTGAAAAGGATCGCTCTCAATTTCCAACTCCCGACGACATTATATGTAATATACTAAACACAAAATTACAACGTGTTCTTATTAACAAAATCTCAAAACTGAAAACGAAAACACTTAAATACCAGTACCACTCTACCACCGGACCAGTGAGCATTATTCATACTTCGACATCTTCCACTACCTGCGATCATTTCGGTGCTAAAATCAGATAACTCCTGGACTTGCCTGATTCTTACACTGTAATGGTTGATCCGATAAATCCTTTGCTAAGCTAACTTCATGGAGATTCGTTGGATCTGCCTGATTCCTGCACCAAAATATACGCAACTTCAAATTTTGTGTGTTGAATGCACCAAGGTCTTCAATTACTAATTACAGATTCGGTTAGGGATCAATTAAACAAACTTAATAAACTACATGTAAGTAGCAGTGACCTCGAAGTTTCTAAGCAAGGTCAGAAAGGTTTAATAACTGTATTTTTGCTGTATTTCTAATTTTGTTTTTCATTTGCAGATACGGCGTTAAAGGATCTCCTCCAGCTATTCCAGGAAATTCGACACTTGTTTTTGAAGTAGAATTAAAGAAAATTCGTTGATTTGCATAAGATATGTGAATATATTTTTTTTGTACAATATTTACATCATGCTCATATTGTCATAGTTTAGTGTAAGAAACCAGTTTAATGGGAAATTTTTCCAATTTTGCAGAGCGGGCATAAAATCGAATCAAATTATTTTCATCAGACATTTTTTACATTTAAAAAAATGATTTTTTATATTCTCATTATACATTATATTTTTACTAGAACAGAAATGGTTTCTTATCAGCACACTATATATAACAAGGTGCGAAACTTATTAAACTTTTGTTATTATTATTCCACTCTATTTTGTTTACTTTTAAACGGTTATTATTAGTGTGTATTACTACATGTATCTTTCTTATTTAGTTTACTTAGTTATCAGACATAAATATCGAGGATACATAATATGAATTTGCCGATGCATCTGTTTTTAAAATTGTTAAAGTTACTCAGTTTCCAGTGCATTTCCTCGATATTTATGTTGCCATGTTTTGTAATACATGTATTTTTTAATAGTTTGACTTTTATTTATACATTCAACTTGGGTGAATTTCAAGTAAGTTCATGGGTTAAGAAAGCTAAACACAATATTCACGAGTCAAAAATGTCAGAAAAAACAGGAACGAGACGAGGACTACACAAAATGAATGGTGACAGGCAGTTTTTAAAGATGTTTTTAGATGAGCTACCATCCCACTACTGCCGTAAAAGCTCAAGCAAATTATATTTATACCAGACTGTTTGATCTATTGCAGCTTTATATAGCGAGTATCTGTTGAAGTGCAAAAATGAAAGCAAGCAGGCTATGGTAGAACATTTGACGAGTTATTCCATGAGAAAGGAATTTCTATATACCTGTCCAAAAAAGATAAATGTGACAATTGTTGTCAACATGAAGTAGGGAACCTGGATGAGGAATCTTTTGACAATCATGTTACTAAGAACGAAAGAGCAAGGCAGGAAAAACTGAATGACATCATGGTAGCTTCAGTTGAATCAAGCATCGTTTTAATGATGGATTTACAAGCTGTTCAGATATGTCCCAGCCTTATCGCCAGTGCTGAGGAATCTTTTGACAATCATGTTACTAAGAACGAAAGAGCAAGGCAGGAAAAACTGAATGACACCATGGTAGCTTCAGTTGAATCAAGCATCGTTTTAATGATGTATTTACAAGCTGTTCAGATAATATCGCCAGTGCTGTATATTATAAAACAAAATTATGTTGCCATAATTTCACCATAATGAATATAATGACAAAACATGTTGTGTTATTGGTTTAGATAAATAGAAACTGATTTATCCGCTTTGTTTGCCTCTTTGGTTGTGAACTATATTACACGGTTTACTGATAGCTACTTGCCACTTACAGTGTACAGTGATGGATGTACATATCAAAACCGTAACAGTATAATGGCAAATGCACTGCTTTTTGCTTTAGAATTGTAGAAATCAAATAGATTCGATTTCTAGAAGTTGAAATCGAATAATTGAATAAAAATACTTGGAACGTGGACATATTCAAATGGAGTGTGCCTCCTTTCACAGTCGAATATAAACTAAAATTAAAAGATGTGATATATTGCCTTTCACTTATTTTTCTATTACTCGTGAATCTAGACAAAATCCCTATCCATATGAGGCCGAATGGGTAACTTACGATCGGTTTAAAGATTGTTCTAAGAAGAAAAACCAGATGTATACCAGTTTTCAAAGTAAAACACTTGCACGTCACCATTTATACAAAGTGACGTCACTTGTATTCAAAATTTCCAGAACATCAACCTTAGAGTTTAAATTTTCCTAACAGCTAATAATACGAAACCCATACGGAACTGCTCGATCTTTCATAGGCGTCAATATGGTGTAATAATCAGAAAAATGTAATCATCATTATATTGGAAATCTTAGAATTATATTGATTAAATAACCAAAAACAATTGTTATTATTAATAATGTAAATTTTATAAAATAACTCACAAACCAAAGTTTATTTCCCTACTTTTGATGGTAACAACGCCATTCAACTTCAGAAACAACTTGCCAAATTTGATAAGCCATATAGGATTTTCACAGGTGGGTCAAAATCCATTTTGGGAGTTGGTTGTGCGGTATATATCCAAAACAATCAAGAACACATTAATTTTAAATTAAACCAACAATGTTCCATTTATTCCGCAGAACTGTTTGCAATGTATCAAGCTCTGGAATGGACTATTGAGAAAAGAATGATCAACAAATAGTAATCATGTCGGATTCAAAATCTGCGCTGTCTGCTTTAGATAATTCGCATAAGCATTTATACAAAAACAGTATTATTCAACTGAAGATGTTGCATAAGACAAATGAAACTGTTTGGGGTCAGTGACACTATTAGTGTTAACAAAAATATATAACGCTACCCGGTCATTCTATCTCATTTCTTAATGTGTACAAAATTTCCAAAAAGTTACTTTTTACCGAAAAAGCTGAAATTTTAAGTCAAATGCGCAGACTGAAATTTTTTTTTTCAGCAAAAATATTTTTCAGTTTTTTTTAGGACCCCAAATGCAACTTTTAAAACTTACCCCGTTTAGATCGGATAAAAAAATATTTTTTCGGCCCACCCTACTTGGCAATGATATATTAATGTTCTACACATACATAGAGGGAGATGCTCAGCGAGGCCCCAATGAACTCAGTACGTCTGTTTTGGACTTAATAACTGAACATATCCCTGAGGAACTAAAAATCTTGCATGTCTTTAGTGATGCATGTGCAAAACAAAATCGTAATCACACTTTAACCAGGTTGTTTACTGTACTGACCATGAATGATAGATTTCAAGAAATCCATCAATATTTTCCAATCCGAATCCACAGTTTTTTGCATTGTGGCAGAAACTTCTCAATTCTTAAGCACTCTTCAAAAAAAATTTGATAGGATTTATTCTCCTGATCAATATAATGAACTTATTGCGTCTTCTAAGAAAAAGAACAATAATAAGTTCCAAGTAAAACGGCTAATAAATACCGATATACTGGATTTCAAAGGCAGGGACCACAATATTTTAAAAAGATGTTGAAAAAAGCAGTCATTTACCATAAGCAAATACAGACATTTAACATATACCCAAAAAATGAAAGGCTATATCAAGGCGTCTGAATTCATTGATGGTTTCACCTATGGTCTTTTTAATATAAAGAAACCAGATAATGTAAACATTCCCATCACAAAAGCATACAATGGCAAACTTCCTATCATGATACTATGAATAACAAGATAAGTTCTTCCCGTAGCCCAAAATCGGTCGAGTTCGCGCATGCCGTCATTGGAGAGTAGAATTTGAATTTTTGTTAAAGTTAAATGGGATTTGTATGCATTCTGTGATGAAATTATTGGACGAAAATAAGTTAAGAAGTTCAATAATTACAATAATTGTACACATAAGGATATCTCCAAACTATTTATTAAAGATTATTTATTGACACATACAAAAAACTGAACAACTCTCCAATGACGTCATGACATGCGCAATTTCTTATCATAGTATCATGCTTCCTATCAACTCCAAGAAGTTAGAAGATGTTTCCAAAATAATACATTATATACCAGAAGGCTACAGGGCCTTCTATGACAATATACTCACAAATCCTACAACAAATAGAGACAACCGTGACCCAGAATACTGAAAATAATGTAAGTGCCATTTATTTCTGAAATAAAAATTAGTTCTTTATAAATGCCCTTTTTTATTTTGTTTTACTTACGTTTTTGATTTTGAGTGGAAAAATGATAGATTTTGTACTTTCAAATATCAATAACTACTTACCTAATAGCCATGAACTGTTAGCACTTTGGCATTAAATGTGTCTTTGCAAAGTAATCCAATGTTTAATAGAAAAGTTTTTAGTAAAACTAGCGGCTTCTGCGCAAAACAGTTTTTTTTATTTTCTAAAAACATAGTTCGCAGGAATGTTATTCTTTTTCCAATCACCCATTCAATTATTTATTTGGGTTTAACGATATGCAGAGAATGTTTTTTATTCTCCTGTAAAAAAACCTATTTGTGGGTTACAAGCTTTTGCATCTTAAACGACGATACATTGTTTTAACTATTTCAAGAGTTCCGGCATTTTCCTGCTTCTATTATAGTAACGTTCTCACATTCCATGTCCTAAGTTTTAATCATTTTCTTTTTTAGTGTTCTTATTTACGTTGTTTTGGGAATTTGCTGATTCATACTTCACTTCACATTGTTTGTTGCTTATTCCATATTTAATTTTTTTCCAGTTTTTTTTAGCCAATAAAAATAAATAAAAAACAACATTCATTCACAATCATGTATTAATGAAAATAATATTTACATAAAAATTTTCTGGTAATAAAGTCTAATACACAATGTCAAAACACAATATTTTTCCCTGTATTCATTCTGAACTTAATCCGTAATGTTTCTTCCTTGTGAACTTTGAGTCGCTGAACAAGCCGTGCAAGACTATACCTCGAATACAGGGTGTATTAAAACGACATAAATAAAATTAAAGGATAAGCTCGACGAAAGCGGTGTCCAAATCGTCTCCAATTTCTTTGTAACGCTCTTTCATCAAAAATATAATCCAATATCATCAAAAATATAATTAAAACAAATCATAATCTTCTATTATTCCTATTAGAAACTAGTTTTGGACGTCCCAGGATTTTACCTTTATCTAACGTACTTTATTATGAGGATTTTACAATAACACAATATTAAGTACGTTTTGTGATTAAATATCATTTGAAATTGCTTATTCAGCATTCTTATCATCACTTTTAAAAAATAATAAATTAACTGGAAAATAATAAACGTTTATTAAAAATATTCTCAAGAAACTCCAGCCAAATCCTAACAAAAAGTTTAAGTTGGTTGCCTACATTTGGAGCAACTTAACGATATAAACTAAATTGTAACTTTTATTTAATTTTTGACGCCATGTCAAACTGAACTGGATGTTAACTGAAATGTTTTCGTTATTAAGAACATATTTACATAATTTTATAAATATATTTTAATGATCCACCTAAACTATATTAGCTAAAATAAACAACGCGAATAATACAAATATTTACTACAATATGTTCAATTGTAACAACTCAAATATTATATATTAAATATACAGGAAAAATGTTATGGGTTTAGTATACACTTCCACTATTTGGAATAATTCTTCTTTTTTTAAAGGAAGAAGTCTGCAATAGTAGTATATTTGAGCTATTAATACTGAGAAGTAGGAATTTTTGTGTTGTAGGTTTCCGACAATGAATCTGTCAAAATATGCCCGAGCCATGGACGTATAAACATAGAATCTGTGTTTATACGTCCATGGCCCGAGCCACAGAATAATAAACAATCAGAAGGGCAACTCTCAGATGCCGCCTTTGAAGTTTTTCAGCACGCGCGCCATGTTTTAGGAGGACACAGACATATGATTTGTGTAGTTATGTAATTGTTTATATTTATGTTTAATTATATTTATGTTATTATATTTAACAA